TGCGTAATATTTATAATATAGCTTCTAAATTCCTTATTAAGGCAATTAAGAATCCATGCTATAAGGATAACTTCTAGAATTTCTATATTATAGGATTTTAAATCCTCGTAGATTTCTTTTACCTTATAAAGGTATTTCTCTAAATTAGAGCCCGAGGGACTAAGATTAAAGAGCTGCTTTATAAGCAAATAATTCGACGAGAAATTCGACGGATTATATAGCTTTATAAGCTTATCCTAAGCAGCTTTAGCATTTATTAAATGCTTAATTTATATTAAAGGGCTATCTTCGACTTAAAGAAAAATCTAGGATAAAGCTTCTATAGTCTTTATATAATTTTCTTGCTCTAAGGTAGTAATAAGCTTTTCCTTAGTAAGGATAGCTCTTATCCTCGTAGTCTAAAGAGTATAATTTAAATTTCCCTTAAGTCTAGAGAATTTATATTCTTTCTATCTACCTATTTTATATAAATTCGGTATTATTTCGTTCGTAGGGATCGAGAAGTCTAGGCGGGAGTTTAAGAGCGTAGGAAGGTAGAAAAGTCGTTAGGGGATTTTCGAAAATTTTAATCGGGTATTTCGACGAGGAATTTCAAAGGTATAAGTAGTTAATTTCCCGGCTTAAAAGGAGCAAGCCGGGCTTATAACCTCTAAAGGTATATAAGCAAAAGCGGAATTTTAGGAAATCAAGGAATCACGTAAGACTACGTAATAGAGGGGAAGAATAAGTATAAGGTAGGATTTTCAACGGAATTTATTGGTAGTGTATTAGTGTGTGGAAGAGGTATTAAAGTTAATAATTCTCTATCTATCTACTAGCGGACATACTATCTTATATAGACAATTGTAGCTGAACGGAAGAACCTTTCGGGACTAGATTTAGGCTGCCGTATAGCCCTAAGACTAGGGAATAGGCTTTATTAGTAGAGATATATCCTATAGCTACTAGCTAGAAAGAGCTTCTATAAGGAAGTATTAGTTAGCTTCCTCGAGGATTTCTTCCTACTTAGCTAGCTATAAAGAAGCTAGTAGGTTCCTAGTAGAGAAGGCTCCTAGGTAGGCCGTATAGGTCTTCCTAATATAGTTAGTTATATAGCCCTTTAAGGGAGCTATTAAGGTCTCGAGCTTTAAAAGCTATTACTTAGGAGTCTCTTCCTCTTAAAGAGAGACTAGTTTTACGGTACTAATAGATTCCGTTATTACTATACGAGTAGTAGTTAGTAGCTTCGTCTTATAAAGGTATTCCTTTCGGTAACTCTTATAGTCGTATAGGGTAGTAGAAAAAGCTCTTTACTATATAGAGGTTAGCTTAGAGAAGAGGGTAGCTCCCTCTATAAAGTCCGTTGCCCTAAAATAAAAAGAGGGGTCGAGAGGGTCCTACTTATTAGAGAAGACTAAATTATAGATAGTTCTATCTATACGAGCCCGTAGCTTCTTTACCTGCTTATCTTAATCTTAGGGCTCTATAAGAATCGTCCTATAGACCGTAGGGATAGTAAAGGAGTCGGCTTTCGTTATTATTATAGGGAAGGGTAGAAAAGTCGGTTAAAAATCGGCTTTTTTAATTAAGAGGGGTAAAAGGAAGCTACGAAGGATATAAGAAAGGTGCCTTTTATAGCAGCTAGAAGGTATAGGAATTCTATTCCTCCTAGGCTTATAACTCTCGCGAAGAGAGATATAAGAAGTATATAAAAATATATAAAGGTAAAATTAAAAGTAAGGGGTTAAATAGGTAGGGTAGAGAGATTTAATTCTTATAGGGGTAGTAATAAAGGTAGGAGAGTAATTATTATATTACCTTAATTATTATTCTTTCCTCTATCTAACGCACCTCTTTATACCTATCTAGCATCTTAATTAATAAAGAAGATCCTACTTAAAGAAGCTACTAATATCCTTTTAACTACTAAGCTTTTTACTAGTTTTTCCCCTCCTTTCTAGCCGTTACTAGTATATCCGTCTTATCTCTCGCTACCTTTATAAGAAGCTATCGCTACTTCTACTTCCCCTTATACCCCTACCCTCCTTTCTATACTTCTTTTTAGCTCCTTCTTCCTTCTTTTATACTAGGTGTTTTTAGCTTCCTTAGTCCCTCTTACTAAGGGATATCTCTAAGAACTACGAAATTAAGCTACGCTTCGTAATAATATAATCGTTATTATATCCTATATAATTATAAGAAGAATTATTAATAGACTTTACTATAAGTCTACTTAAAGTATAGTATAATAAATAAGATATTAATACGATCTTAGTAATCGTAGACCGATATACTAAGTATTGCCTTTTTTTTCTTTTCTTTAAGATAATAATAGCTATAGAGCTAGTAAAATTATTCTATTACTAAGTTAAATTAATATATAGACCTTTAAAAGGTATTATCTTAAATAAAAGCTCTTTATTTATAAGTAAGTTTTAGTTAGATCTTTATTTTATCTTATAAGTAAAATATAGGCTATCGATAGTATTTTACTTATAAATTAATAAGTAAATAGAATAAATAAACTAAGCTATATAGTACTACTTAAGATACTTTATTAACTTAGAATAAACTAACTAAGCGTTAATTTTATATATTACTTAATTTATATATAATAATATATAGAACGTAATAACTAGGTTATTACTTAATAAAGCGTTAATAGGTTACTAACTAAACTTCTATATTAATATTAAGGACGATATTATTTAAAGGGGGGTACCTAAAGTAAAAATAAGAGTTACTAAGCTATAAGAGCTATAAAAGAGGCTTAATAAATACTAAGGAAAGGCTATTAAATTATAAGCGAAATACTATAATTTAAGGCACTAACTATATATACTAAAAGTAAGAGACCTTATAGTATTATTAATAAAGAACTTATACTTTAAGGATAAAAAAAGAAAACTCTTACCTAAGTATATTAAACTGTTTTAGGTCTTAAAAGCTATTAAAAAGTAAGTATATTATTTTATACTCCTTAAGAAGTACTTATATCTCTATAACGTTTTCTATATTAGTTTCTTAGAGCTATAAAAGGAGCGTAAAGGTACTTATAAATATAGTAAAACCCTACTAATACTAAACTTAAAGGATAATAAAGGTAAATAAAAAGTCTAAGAGATTAAAGACTAAAAGAGATCTAAAGGTAATTCTCGCGAAGAGAGATACGAGAAGTGCATATAAAATGCACGAAGGTGAAAGTAGAAGTAAGGGGTCGGACAGGCAGGGCAGAGATGTTTGAATCTTGCGGGGGCAGCAATTGCAGTAGGGGATTGATTGTTGTATTGCCTTGATTGTCCTTCTTTCCTCTATCCAACGCCCCTATTTATACCCGTCTAGCATCTCAATTAACAAAGAAGATCCTGCTTAAAGAAGCTACTAATGTCCTTTCAACTACCGAGCTTTTTGCGGTTTTCCTTCCTTTACAGCCGTTTCCGCATATCCGTCTTATCTCTCGCCACTTTATGCTTTCCCTTATGCCCCCACCCTCCTTTCTGCACCTCTTCTCGGCTCCTTCTTCCACACCGGGTGTTTCTAGCTTCCTTGGTCCCTCTTGCCAAGGGATATCTTCGAGAACTGCGAAATCAGGCCACGCTTCGCGACACACCCCCTTAGCTATGGCCTGCCCTTATAGTAAGGGCATAGCTAATACGGCTTCGGGCTGGTGAGCGTATAGAGGAGGTTCTTAGCTCTGCACTTCTCCCTTTACTCGAGGAAAGCAGGGGCCCTTTCGGGTCCCTGGGCTCTTTCAGACCTACTTAAGGAAAAGGGGCCTAAAGAGGGGAAAGTCCTATAAGAAAGGGGGCCTTCTTAGAAGGGAAAAACCCAATCAAAATAGGGGGCCCTCTAAAGGGAAAAACCTCTTCCTTTTCTTCGGCTGCAGACGTCACCTTCTCGTACGGGCCATTAGCTCCTCTCGTAGACTCTCAAGGCGGGCTTCCAAGGACAGCTTCTCTCGAACGTCTTCTAGCCTAATTTGCTGTAAAAGATAGCTAGCTTCTGCTTCGGCAGGGCTTCGTAAGACCGTCGGCTTTCATCGATGCCGTTGGAACCCAACGGACGGAAATAAGTCCCCTTTGGACCTCTTGGCGTAACCAATGCTGGTGGATATCGATATGCCGTAGCGGGTCGACAACTTGCTGTTTTCCGTAAGAATTCGTATAGTCTGCGTGTTATCGCATTCTATAGCTAATGGGGTCGGAATTTGCAGTCGTAACGATATTAGCAGCCGGCTAAGGAAAATCGCTTCTTTTGACGCTTCTGAAAGAGCTAGTAGCTCTGCCTCCGTACTAGAAGTCGTAACGGTGGCCTGCTTCGAAGCTCTCCAAGCAATGGTTCCTCCAAAAAGGGACATGATATACCCCTGTGAGCTCTTTCTGTCTAAGGAATTGTCTGCAAAGGACGAATCGCTCGAACAGAGGAAGATTTCGGCAGCTTGTTTCCTTCCCTGCCCTCCTAGGCGCAGACCATGTGATCTCGTTGAATAGAGATAAAGGATAGCTCTGTCTGCTGCTTCTTGATGCCTAGGGCTAGGATTCTGGTTGTGCCTAGCTAGCCGGAGACCGTAAAAGAGATATCCGGTCTAGTAGAAATAGCTAGAAAAAGCAGGGAGCCCACCTTCTGTTGATATTGGTGTTTCTCTTGCTCCCTGGCTTGAAAGGACGGATCAGGTAAAAGCTCTTCGTCTGACATAGGCGTAGAGGGAAGCTTCTTATCGAGGGATTTAGGGAGGAATTTATAAGCGACCTTATCGATATAGGCGTCCTGGGTAAGCCAGATAGTCCGTTGGGACCTATTCCGAAGGATTCGTATCCCTAGGAACCACTTTGGCTCCCCTAGCCTGGTCATCTTATACCTTTGTTGCAGGCCTCGTATAGCCTCCCTAGCAGCAGCTTCTTCCTCTTTCGGGTAGGCCCAGATAATGTCGTCGACGTAGAAGAAGACCGTGATTTTACCCTTCTGCATTATACACGGTTCCTGAGGGACTTTCTTGAAGCCTAGGGCTTCGAGGGAACATGTTAAATGCTGTTGCCAAAGAAGGGGTGATCTTCGTAGTCCGTATAGAGCTTTCCTAAGCCGTAGAACCTTTCCTGGCTGTTGGAAGCCTGGTGGAAGGCGCATATAGACAACTTCTTCTTCCTCGAGTGGGCAGTTAACAAAGGCGTTGACTGCATCCATCTGATCGAGCTCGAGGTCGAATTCTGCTGCTATAGCTATAAGGGTCCGAAAAGACATCCCTGCTAGGGTAGTTGCCCTAGTAGGAAGATCCCCTTTTTCTTGCTGGTTCCCGCAGACAACTAGCCGGGCTTTGCACTTTTAAAGGAAGCCGTGTTTATCAGTCTTATAGATAAAGACCCACTTGCAGCTAAGGACCTGTTTTCCTCTTGCTTTTTCCTTTAGGACCTCTTCGAAAGACTCTATCTCTTCGTGTGAGGCTAGGTGGTCTTTCTGGGCCTGGAAAAACTGGTCTTTAAAAGGATGTCTTTCTAGCTGCTTCTGGTTTGCTGGTGGGTCCGGGAGGTCTCTTTTGTGTACCTTCCTTGCTGATAGCTGTGGCTTGAAGAGCCGGCCTGCTGTGAACGCTCCGTGGGAACCGTCTTCTATAGGCATGGGATAGAAGTCGGAAAACGATCGAAATAGGGGAGAAACTGGTCTTCTTTCGTATCGGGCCCTATACCTTCCTTTGCTTCTCGAAGCAGGGATAAAAAGGCAGCCGGGTAATCCTTCGAGAGAGGTGCCTTTCCCACCCCCTTAGGGGCCGAGACGGGAAGACTAATAGAGAAAGCTGCTTCTAGATCTTCTTCTTGTTCCGTAAGAGGAGGCGTAGGGAGGCAGGCGTATTCCAGCTCTACCGCTTTTCTATAGTCTCCTTCTTCGTCTAGATCATCTGATCTAGCAGCTTCCTCTTCTTCTTCGAAGTCGGCGTTATCCTCGACTGCTTCGACGTCGGTTTCTTCTTCCGTTTCCTCGTCTAGGACCTCTTCTTGAGACTGTTGGGAAGGGGGGATTTGGATCTTCTGAATTAGCTAACGTTGTGAGAGTAAGAGGGGCTATTGATCCCTCTTTCCGTCGAAGAAGCTAGATTCGTCGAAAATCACATCCCTAGTCGAAATAACCTTCCGTAGAAGAGGAATCCAGATCCGGAAGATATTCGTAGAATTATACCCGACGAGGTAACCAACAAAGGCTCTAGGATTAAGCTTTCTTTTCTTCTTCCTTTTTAGCTATGCATCGGCAGTCATAGCGTATGCCTTGCAGCCGTAGGCACGAAGGTAGGCTAGCGAGGCCCTCTTCTTCGTAAAGAGCTCGAGTAGGGATTTCCAGTCTGTTCCTTGGGTCTTGAAAAGGGTCTCTAGGTCCCTATAGTCTCTTGGTCCCCTAGGGTCCCTTAGGGTCCGGTTCCGAAGGTAATAGGCGGTCTCAACGACTTCCCTCCAAAGGTCGTGTGGAAGCTTTGCAGCAAGTCTCATCGTACGGGCCCTTTCCATCACAGCACCCCCTGATCTTTCTGCCCCTCCGTTCTGGGCCTGGGTATTCGGTGCTGACGGGAGGGGTAAAATGCCCCTTTTTCGAAGCTAATTTAAGATATCCTTCGTAAATAGCTCTCCGTCAGACCGTATCTTCTTTACCTCGTAGCTAAAGTGGGATTTCATCCAGTTAACGAAGTCCCGGAGGGCAGACCAGTTATACTTGCTTAGGTAGGTCCGTAAGAAATAGGGGAAAACCATCCCTGAAAAAGCGTCTGTGAAAAACATCACCCTAACGAAGCTTTCCTGGTCCCTAGAGACGTCGGTCCAGTCGACCCAAATTTCCTCACACGGCTGGTCCGGCCGTATAGGCGTTCGTCTGGAAATTCGTCTCCTGGTCTTCCCTTGGCCGCAATATTCGCATTCGACGGTCTTTGGGCCCCTTATTCGTACGCCTTGTTGTAGGCCTAGCTTATGTAAAGCTAGGGGGCCCGGGTGACCAAGTCGTGCGTGCCAAAGAAGACCGTCTCCTTGGGCTGCCGGAAGAGGGTCCTTTGTGGTAGACCTATTCCTCCTAGCAGGGAAAGCTGACTTCTCGGGAGGTTCCTTCCTAAGGATAGGTCGGAATTCAAGAACAAATTGACCGAATTTTTCCTCGATAAGCCCGATAGTCTAATTCTTCTGGACTAGCCTCGTAGGCTCAGACGTTGTGTCCTAGAAGATTCCTTCCTCTCGAAGAAGGCGGAAGGAAATCAGGCTCGTTAAAAATCGAGGGCAAAAAGCTACCCTTTTTCGTCGAAGAATTCGTATAGACCCGTTAGGTAATTTCATCGTAAAATTTACCCTTCCGTATCCCTCTATCCGTACGGTTGATTCCCCGGCAATAAGGTATTCCCTCCGTGCCTTCTTAAAGGACCGGAATCGTAAGAGTGTATTGCAGATATCGAGGGACGCACCAGAGTCAAGGATAGCTGATTTTCGTAGGGGATAGTCGGAGGGTCCTAACGGTTGGTCTTGCTGATCCGTGGGGAAGACGAATGCCGGATTTGCTATACCAACGATTTTTCCTCGAATTTGCGGTAGCGGCGTTAGTTGCTATTTCTTAGCAACCCGAATCTCGTCTATCTTCTTCTGCAACGAGGGGTCCTCCTTAAGAGACTGTTGTACTGTTTCTCGTAGCCTCTTTGAAGGGTTGACTCCTTTAGGTCGGTTTTCCTCGAAGACCTGCCAGCAGTCTTCCAGCCGATGGGGCTTTTTGCATGCTTGGCAGGTAGGTCGATTCCTTCTCGTACGTTGTCTCTTCGAGGAATCCTCGTCCCGGTCCGGAAGGTCTGCTTAAAAACCCCCCCTTTTTACCCCTTATTGCTGATTTTGACGAAGAGGTTCGATTTCGACTAGTTCCCTGATTTTTCGACTAACGGACTGAAAGGTCCATTGGGGGACTAGTCGGGCCGGTCTGACTGACGGGACCGGGGCCGGGCCCGGAGCAAGAGGCGGAGCCGGGGCCGGGCCTACGGCAGCCGTTAAAGACAGTGTTGATGCTCTCGAGGGAGGTGGAGCCGAAGGAGCAACAGCCGCAACAGCAGCAGCGGGAGCCGCAGCAGCAAGGGCTGCAGCAGCTGCAGGTCGAGCCGTCTGGGTTAAGTGCTGGCCACGAAGGAATAAGACTGCTTGCTGTTGTACTCTAGCAGCCTCTTCGTCTAGTTCCCGGCTAGCTTCTCGAAAGATAGTCGAGTAACCGTCACTAATAGGCTTTATTAGCAGAGATATATCCTGCACTGGCCGGAAAGAGCTTCTGTGAGGAAGTATTGGTTAGCTTCCTCGAGGATTTCTTCCCACTTAGCTAGCCACGAAGAAGCTAGTAGGTTCCTAGCAGAAAAGGCTCCTAGGTGGGCCGTATAGGTCTTCCTAATACGGTCAGTCATATAACCTCTCGAGGGAGCTGTTGAGGTCTCGAGCTTTAAAAGCCACTGCCTAGGAGTCTCTTCCTCTCGAAGAGAGATTAGCTTTGCGGCACTAACGGATTCCGTTATCGCCGTACGAGCAGCCGTTAGCAACTTCGTCTCGTAAAGGTATTCCTTTCGGTGACTCTCGTAGTCGCCTAAGGCAGCAGAAAAAGCTCTCTGTTGTGCAGAGGTTAGCTCAGAGAAGAGGGTAGCTCCCTCTGCAAAGTCCGTTGCCCTAGGTCGAAGAGGGGGCTCGAGAGGGTCCTGCTTGTCAGAGAAGACCAAATTGTGGATGGTTCTGTCCACACGAGCCCGTAGCTCCTTTACCCATTTATCCCAATCTTGGGGCTCTGCAAGAATCGTCCTACGGACCGTAGGGACGGCAGAGGAGTCGATTTTCGTCATTGTTGCGGGGAAAGGTAGAAAAGTCGGTTAAAAATCGGCTTTTCTAGTAAGAGGGGTAAAAGGGAGCTACGAGGGATGCAAGAAGGGTGCCTTTTGCAGCAGCCGGAAGGTACAGGAATACTATTCCTCCCGGGCTCATAACTCTCGCGAAGAGAGATACGAGAAGTGCATATAAAATGCACGAAGGTGAAAGTAGAAGTAAGGGGTCGGACAGGCAGGGCAGAGATGTATGAATCTTGCGGGGGCAGCAATTGCAGTAGGGGATTGATTGTTGTATTGCCTTGATTGTCCTTCTTTCCTCTATCCAACGCCCCTATTTATACCCGTCTAGCATCTCAATTAACAAAGAAGATCCTGCTTAAAGAAGCTACTAATGTCCTTTTAACTACCGAGCTTTTTGCCGGTTTTTTCCTTCCTTTATAGCCGTTTCCGGCATATCCGTCTTATCTCTCGCCACTTTATGCTTTCCCTTATGCCCCCACCCTCCTTTCTGCACCTCTTCTCGGCTCCTTCTTCCACACCGGGTGTTTCTAGCTTCCTTGGTCCCTCTTACTAAGGGATATCTTCGAGAACTGCGAAATCAGGCCACGCTTCGCGACAGTAATACCTTTTTACTTATTAAATAAAAAGGATAGCTAGCTAAGTATAACTAATAGGTTAATACTAAAGATATAGTAAATAGCTAAGACCTTATTAAAGAATATACTACTCGCTTAACTAAGAAAAAGAAGTATAAGACTAAGTAAGGTAAGGAAACTTATTAGCGTAAAGATATACTATTAAATTAGTAATAAATCCCTACTAAATCGCTATTAACTTATTAATATATTAGTATACTTAAACGTCTTATTACTATATATAAAATAGTAAAATAAGAGAATAAGGGAAAACTATTTATATTACCTATTAAATATTATTAAGGAAAATAAAACTAAACTATAACTTTATTAAGACCTTAATAATAAAGGAGAGAAAGATAGTTATAACTAAATAAAAAAAGATAAGACCTATTTATTACTTTTAACTACCTTTTTTCTTTACTAGCGTAGTAGGAACTAACTAAGGCACCCCCTTTACTATACTAAATACCTTTAAAAATAATAAAACTACTTTATCCTTTACTCCTTTCTTATCCTTTACGTTAAGACCTATCTTTATTAGTATAATACTTACCTTAGCCTTAGTAAATAATAAAGTATATTACTAAGAAGTATAGCCTATATTACTATTAATAAAGTAGAGTTTTAACTAAGATTCCTAGGCTTAGTACTTTAAGCTTATATAGGTAATATTAAATAAAGGTATAAGGTTAAGGTAAATAATAAGCTAATAGCGCTTATTAATTAGTATATAGTAGTTAGTATGCTTAACGTAGTATATTATTAAGCTATCGTTAATAAAAGGGTTAAATAAAAACTTATAACTATAGACTTTTATATACCTATAGTCTTAAAGGACTTATAATAAGCCCTTTTAATAGTGTCGAAAGCCTTAGCTAAATACTATACTATAATAGTAAGACGGCGCTAATTACCTTCCTTAAAAATAAGTATACTTATATTTAAGCTATCTTCTTTAGTATCCTTATTACTAGTCTTTAGCTTATTAAGCTTATATAGGTACTCTATAATAGCGACTATATTAGCCTAGTTACTAAATATAAAAGTAGCGGCCTTAAGAAAGATTAGCTTATTAATTATAATATTTAAAGTTAATAGGAAACTTACTTAATTATAAGTCGTAGTATATCTATAGTACTACTTATAGCGCGTTAAAGAAACCCCTAAGAAAATATAGTTAATTAAGAGTACTTTAATAAGCTTAAGCTTAGTTATACTATACTTTTTAATAACCGTCCTAAAATAATATATATACTAAAGCTTATAAGGGATAGCCCCTTAGGCCCTAACTAAGCGGGCTTTAGCCTTAGATTAAGTATACTTCTTTATAAGAGCGTGACCGCCTTATACCGCCGCCTAAGTACCTTTATTACTAGTACTATTATTCTTAAGTTCGTTAGTAAGAAGAGTTAAATTATAGCCGTCTTTATTATTACTATTATTATTATCTTACTTCTTATTTAGCTAAGTATTAAGATTACCTTAGCCCTTATTTAGCTAACCCTTATTATTAATATTAGCTTACTTATTTTAAGGAGCGGCCTAGGCGATAATCTCCTATTAGTTAAAGCCGCCCTATTAAGATAAAGTAGCTAGGTTATTAGCACTTACTTAAAAGCGCCTAAGTATAGTCTCCTTACTAGTATTAATATTACTAATAAGGGTAATAGACTTATAAGTTTCCTAGCTTATAAAGGTAAGCTTATTAGTAGTTAGAGTTAAGGTATTTAGCGGGGTAATAAGGGTATAACCCTTACTAATATTAGGTCTTAAACTAAGAGTCTCTTAAAACTAAGATTCCTTTATACCTTTCTTAGCTTTCTTTACTAAAAGGGAACTAGTATTACTATAAGACTTTTAAGCTAATCGCTTATACTTTAAGGGTAAACCTACCGCTACCTACTCCTATATATAGTATAGGAAATCGGCGTTATAGTTCTTTATCTTCTTTAGTATAAAAGGTATTATTATTAATAAATCGTTAATAAAAAGTAATATAAAAAGGTATAAGGGATTAATAAAAAAAGATATAAAACTTTATAATAATAGTAAGTAAAAGAGTTAAAGAAAAAAAGAAAATAAAAAAAGTAAGAGATATATATATATACTCTTTATATTATAGTTATATAGCTAATATATAGGCGATACTATAATAGTTACTTAGTAGTAACCGTTAGTATAATAACTATTAATATTATAAAGTATAAACTAATATATATTAATATAAGTATATACGCGCTATATACTATTAAAACTACCTCTCTTTTTAACTAAATATATATAGTATAGCGAAAGTAATATATATTAAAGATATAGCTAAGATATTTATATAAGAGGGGAGATAATTATAAGAGCGCTATTAAGAGGTATATATTAATAAAGTACTTAGGTATATAGTACTAATATATTAGTAGGGTATTAGTAAGGAATTATACTTACTTTACTTATAAGTTATAAACTACTTATTACTTTAACTAAAAAGGAGAAATCCTTTTTCTTATAAGCTTTAGTCTTATAATAAAGAGAATATAATATATATAGTATAGTACCTCTAGCTATCTCTACTACTTAACTAATAGTACTATAATATATATTCCTTTATAAGATCCTTTAAAGGCCTTTAAGACCTTTAAAAAAGCTTAGTTTTAAAGCCTTTAAAAAGGCTTTATAAGGCTCTTAAGGGTCTTAAGTACCCTATATTAAAGCTAGGCTCTATAGTCTATTATATAGGTTATATAAGCTTAGTAAAGCTACTTAAAGGCTTTAAATAATAAGCCTCTTTATATAGAGGTTAAATAAAATAGCCCTTTAAAAGTAGCTTATATAAAAGCTACCTTCTTTTTAATATATTATTTAAATAGGAGCTTAGAATTAAAAAAGACCCCTAGCTATTATATTAAGGGCTTTACCTTAAAAAATAAGCTTCCTACTATTATACTTTAATAAGGATAAGGGTATATACTTAAAGCACGTATAGTATATAGCTAAGAATTAGTAGAGTAATTAACTATATAATTATTTAATTATTAGTCTTATATATAGCTTTAAGGGTCTTAGGTTATTAATATAAGTTTTAGAGATTTCTTTACTTTATACTTTTTTATCTTTACTAAAGTCGCGTAACTAATAGCTTTTACTTTAAAAGGGAAAAATAAACGTTTAAATTAACTATAATTAAGGAGGATATTTAATTAAATAATCCGCGCTTTTATAAAGTCTTTAAGTATACTTAAAAGAGGGGTAAATAAGAAGCGCTAAGGGTCTTATCCCTTTAATAGGCTAATATTTATAAAGGTATAATCTTACTTATTAAAATACCCTTTAAAATAAGCTGCCTTTACCTACTAAAGTAAATAAGTTCTATCTATAAAAGTCTTTAACTATTATAGGTTATAAGCTTAGGCTATAGCTTAAGCTATATAGTTATATATAAAGGGCTAGATCTTATATATATATATATAAACTAGCTATATATAAAAGAGCTCTATATAGCTTATTAATATTATCTTATAGATAGTACTTATATATACGCTTCTACTTACTTTATAATAGTATAAGCTATTAATTAATAGATCTAATAGATATCTCCTTAGAAAGGGTACTGCTTTTTTAAGGGAGTACCCCGCTACCCTTTAAGTAGATAAAAAGTATTATAGCTATCTTAAAAGTAATTAAAAGCGTAATTACTAGTAAGAAAAATAAGGTTCTTACTATACTAAAGGAGCCGTTTATAAGACTAGCGTTAACCCTTATAACCTTGATAATACTAGTTATAGTAGCGGTACTACCGATATAAAAGCTACTTCCTTAGCTAACTTAAGATAGTAAGCCTAAGTCCTTTTACTTCTTCCTTAGCTAGCTATAGATAAAGTTTATAATAAATAAGAAATAAGGCCTAAACGGCTATTATAATATAGTATAGTATTTACTCCTTTATATACTACTAAAGCCTTATATATAGCGGATCTTTAGATTCTAAGATAAGGGCGGCCTTAAGGGTAAACGCGACCTATAGGACTTCTTTTAATACCTTATATATATATTTAGTAATATATAAGAGCGGGAGAAGGCATAGGATAGGCTATAAACTATTAGGTAAAGGAATAAGTAGACCTTTAGCGAATTCCTCTTTAAATTTAAAGAGACGCTTTTATAGGTAGTAAGAACTATAGTATAAAAAGATAGCGCGAAGCTTATATAGTTATAAAACTTAATTATACTAGCCTTATAAGAGCTACTTATCCTTATAATTATACCTACTAACTATAGTAAGTATATAAGCCGGTTAATAAAAGTAGTATAAGGCTATAAGTAAATACTATATTTTAAAAGCTTTATATATATACGCTATATAGCGGTAATAAGATTACCGCCCTTTTA